AAAAATAATCTTATCTAAAATCTTGTCATGCTTTAAAAATGGGTGGTAGTCTAATGCAGTTTGTAGTTAATTGTACAATGACTAAATCAAGGTTTTTAAATTGTCAGTTCACCCCAATTACCCAATTATAAAAAGGTTGTCAGATGCAAACAAAATATGATTTTTCACCTATGATTCATAGTCCTAAATTATGTCTGTGAATCTACCTCAAATATTATCTTGTATGTACAGTAAATGCACTGTGTATACCCTAGCTTTTGTTATTTTTGGCTTTAATGTCATTCAACATGTAAAACCACCAGCGCTGTATAGCTTATAGAGTCCAGAGTTTATAGAGTCCAGAGTCCTAAATCCAGTTTTTACAGTATTAGTCCTGATCTACAGCAGTTTAAATGGGCTCAGTTTAGGAGCTGTCTGTGGTCCTGACTCCTACAGACATTAGACGGTGCTGAACAGACAGCTGATGTTGCAGCTGCTATTAGTGGTGGGACAACAGTCGTGACTCTGACTCCATTTACCCATTTTCTAACCACATAAGTGGAGAACAATCTTTGGCACACACACGCACACACACAGGCATTAGGTGCACTTCTACACACAGACACATATTAACTTTAGTCGTCCTATTAAAGCACTCAACACAAAGTTTAGTGGAAAGTAATGGAGGGAGTAATCTGTTTATGATCTGACAATATTTCAATAAGATTGAAATAGTTTAATACTTTTGTGTGAAGTCTTATGTTTAAGGATAAATTTTAACAGCCAGTATGAACTGCACTTAATCTAACTTACAAAGGAGAGTAGAGAGGTGATTATGCTTCATATATAGGTGAGGAACAGGCTGAGAATGTGGTCTATGTATTAAAAGTAGAGAAAATAAATTTGTCTGGTAAAATCTCTTCTCACAAACTTATGAACTCCAGTTTGACTTTCACTTTGAGTTGCTGTTGGAAAAAGACTAAATGCAGCAAAACTCAGTTTGTTGCAAGAGTGATTATATTTTTATTTCTTTATATTCTATATGGTCATATCTTTTTTGTATGTTTTTCCATTATGCAATGCAGTGTCAACATGGTGCATCTGTGTTTGTCTGTGACTTTACTGGTGCCAACATTGAAGACAGCATATGTTATCATTGTCCTTCCCACAGTTAAGTGGAACATAATTTTTCCACCATGACGTCTGATTAATGACAATCCTGCTGGGAGTTTAGGGGGAATAACAATCCTCTACCCACAAGAATCCCATTTATAGTCAGGAGTAACCAAGTTTATTCTTCGTCTGTTCTCCATTATTAAGATAGCAGCTTATTCTTACTCAAATATTGTATTGCCAAGTTTAATATTACCAGTATGATCCAAAACCTTTATTTCTAAATTAAGCAAATCCAACATCCTGTCCCTATAATCTTCTGTTGGCTGACGAGAGATAGCATTTGAATGTTGCAATTAATTCCCATTAACGGCTGTTTTATTATAAAGTGGCATAGCCACAATTTGAAAGCATAAACACTTCCTTAAATAAATTTAAAGCCTACATCACTGTAAAATCCAGCATGTTCAGGATTTAAAACCTTTACTGCCAAAAGCAGCTGTGGGGACAGAAGTAAATTTACATGTGACTAAACAAAGCTGTGTATGCTCTCTGAAGAAGAGAGGGAATTATTTTAAGGTTCTTCCCATTCATGTTTAATTTGGAGTATGAAGGCTCGTCAGTATGTTAATCTGAGAAGATCAATTTAAATCATTTTCAAGTAGTTGCCATTCCACTCCTCATGCAGGTTGTCAGAAACCCATAAGGGAAATACCTGGAACAAAATAGACAATTGTACGTACTGACATCTTTTTGAACAAATCGATGTAACCTCCTGGTCTGATTTGGATCAGAGCAAATGACAAAAACATGACACTGCAGCTTTTTGCAGACTTGCTGATTCACAGACTCATGATACTCCAATAACCAAAGGCACCGCCTAAAGCTACTATGTAGTGTTATTGATGGTACAACTTGCTTCTTTAAAGAGATGGCATCAAGAACAATATACATAGTTTGATGCCAGATCAAACAAATAATGTGGTGTGAGGATGATTTCAACATGGCCTGTTTATAATATTGTTTCGGTTCGAAACAGATGATAAAATTTCTTGTAACTACAGTCATGCGCCAAGAAAATGTATCGTCTAAGTACATTTTTTGTGCACGTTTGTAGTTTGATTGATCACACATGGAGAACGGGCTGTGAAAAGCTATTTTAAGACATGGCATGAAGATACACAGAGCATACAATGTAATCTGGCTTTAAACTACATTACTATTATCTCCAATATCTGTTAATTATGAAGCCGCCAAGAGACGATTAGCTTAGTCTAGAAATAGTGGGAAGTAGCTTGCCTGTCTAAAGGTAACAAAATCTGCCTTCTACCACCTCTGAACCTACTGTTTCCAGTCTTTATGCTAAGCTAAGCTAGCCATCACGTTATATTGACACAAATAGTAAACTAACTCAATTTTACAGAACGTCAAATTATTCCATTGTGTCATGTATGGCCAGTTATGGGAAAGCTACCAATTAATGTTTTTTTTCTGAGCCAAGTGGTAAATTGCTCCTATTATAAGGTTATTAATTTACACATAGAGAAATTACAGTACAATTACTCCTGAGGCAGACACGGATATAATCAGAGAAACTGAAGTCACTCTATGTGAATGCCCAGTACATTCTGGGACTTTCTGGCCACAGTGAGCAGAGCAGATTCAGGGCCAGCAGCTAAATTAGTGGGTTTGGGGAGAGAATGATAATCATGGTTGTGATAGAAGGGAAACGTGTGTGGGAGACAGAGATAAATGGAGAGAACAGACGGAAGGGGAAGGAAGAAAGTAGTTGTCTGTTTTCTGTTTATTTGTGCATATTGACGGTTTAAATTGGCACAGAAATGTGTGTGTGTCCCTTGGCTTTGCAGTGTAGCACTGTGTTTACAAGATGTTACGGAGTGTTAAGCAGAGCTGTGAATGTGTGATTCACTAGAAGTGGGAGGAAGTGGAAAAGCAGACATCGTTCCTGAGGCCTATAAAAAGAAGCCTTTGAAAGGTCATGCTTTTTTTTTTCTTTTTTTGTGTTTCTTTTTTTCTTTTCTTATCACACTCTGGCAACCTCAACCAAACTTTTTCTCCCCCTCCCCCCTGAAATTTCATTATGACCCCTTTATTCCAGTTGTCTTTGCATCCCTTCCAACCCCCACCCTGCTCTCTTACGGTGTCAACTACAAGGCCGTGTCCTGAGGTGTCAGTGCAGAGGACAACTGCAGCTGACACCTCATGACGTGCCATGTCTTCATAATTAACAGTCAAAGGCAGAGGAACAAGCTCATTTGTGGCTGCTACTGTAGTTAGGTGTGGTTCTGTGCACTGACTGCTCTGTGGTCTGCTGTGATGTGATGTGGCGACAGCGTTACACAATAAGAGCAGCCAGTGAACTCACTCACCAGTCTCTCTGTGTCTTCCTGTCCTTGTCTGTTCTCTCTTTCTGTCTTGGTTTGATTGTGTCTTCCTCCGACAGCCCTAGCTGTCTCTCTGCCTGCACACAAAGAGATGGATGGACCTTGCCGGCCCTTCACTTTGTCTGTTTGCCTCTCTCGTCCTCTTGGCTTGGGTTTACTTAGTTCTTCGATTTGTACTGATAAATTTGATCATAAAGGTCTGCACTGCACAATCTTTTCTTGTACTGAAATTGACACACAAAGCTTCAACCCTTTTTTGCTTGAGGTTCAGGAGAGCATATTGCCTGTATGTATGGTGTATCACTGTGTTGTGACTGGTTACAGGGTGCAGCTCATCCGTGTAGAATAAAAACAACACAGACAGCTGTGCTTTATGGAACTTAAAAATGCATCTTTTGCCAGTCAGACTCTTTCAGTTCCTTCAATTCTATATTTTCACCTTTTCTTCTTTAAAATCTACACATTTAGAGGGTAATTGAAAAAAAATTAAATTCTCTTCTGGAGACAATGGATTTATCTGTATAGGCAATATTTTCGAATTAATAAGACACGTTGAACCAAAGCCCAGCCGCCATCTTATCCTCCTAGACTTCCCAGGAAAATAAAACCCCTGATTGACTCGCAGACCGCTCTTTGTTTAAAAGACAAAGCTGAATAGAGAAAAGGCTATTATAAATTAATTATCCTCATATTATAGTCGGGATGCTGAGGATGACAATCAACAGTATGAGCTCAGTGCACCAGCATAAAGTGGTATTATGTGCCAGGATATGACCAGTCGCAGTGAAATCACTCTTGAATGCTCAGAGCTGTGATAGGAGGAGAGCATTGCCCTAGTTTGAGTCTGGCGTAATTATGTAATGCTTGAGTACCTGCAGCACCAGCGGCATGACAACTTCTGAATGTGAATCTGTGCAGTGGAGAGTGCAGACAGGAACTACACACCTCTTTTTAAATCCTTTTACGTGGTATGCAACTTAATCTCATCTTGAGCTTGCTGGATTTTACTGACATTATTGACTTGTTTTCTCATTTTCTCCCTTCTTCACATCCTTCTCTCCTCAGTCTTCTTCATATTTCCATGTCTCCCTCAAACCTTTTCCTACTTCTTATTCCTCTTTCCAACAATCCCTCCATCCTCTCTCTCTCTCTCTCCTCGTCGCTTTCTTCCTGTGCTCACCTCTTTTTCAGCTCTCCCCCTCCATTCCTAATGCCACATACCAAATGGAGGGTGACAGTATGCAGCTGTGGGTTTTGTCCTCCAGACAGCATCTTGGAGAAAAGCTTAGCCACACATGCACATGCATACAGACGGAGGGAGGGATCGGCACTAACCTGAGTCTTTCATCTGTCGCTTATATAATAGTTAATAAGATGGAGTTCCGCTGTGTGGCTTGCATACATGATGCAGTCAGTCAGACATAAAAGTCTTTGCAATGAGGAAGAAAATGTGTCATCGTTTACCAACACTCTGAACTTTAGTTTCTCTCTCTTTTCCTTCAGAAAGCAAAGCTCCATGCTGCCTTGCAGGAGAAAAATCGTCTGAACCTTGAGCTGATTAACCACCACCTGAAGGCATCGAAATATGACCAGGTGAGGCATTCACACATGCAGTGCGCAAGCATGCCTTAGAAGGACACACACAGAGTGAAGATCAGTGGTCCGACCAGCCGATGATCAGTGATAAAATCTATTTCATATTTGCAGCACTTGAGTTATACCTGCTACATATCACACATACAATGTCCTCTACATGACCGTAACATCAGTCATAAGTTGGAATCTGTGATCCATCTCTACAGATCAATAAACCTGCAGCTGTGTTATTATCATCATATATGTTATCACGTTTTGCCCCTAATGCTTTAAATCTCTAACATGTTGTCTAATACATAAAACCTGTCACCGCACCTTTTGCCTTTCCTATCACTGTGCCTGTTTTGGCCCAGTCAGCCTGAGTCCCACAGTCCACACATGCATACTTAAACATGCACACAGACCCAGACAGAGACACTGTGACCGTCTGTGATGGTGGGCGATTAGCTACTCTGGTGCTAATAGTGACTTTCACAGAGGGGGCAGATTTGACACATGTCCAGGGACTCGGCTCAGCGCTCTTGCTCCACCGTGCCACACAAAAAGATGCCATCTGTGCACTGACAAGGTGGGCACAGAGATGAAAAGAAAGTGGGGCAAAAGTGTGTCCAGGCCTGCCAGATATACAGTATGAATGAATGTGACTGGCTTGCAAGGGCAAAGATGCAGGCAAAATCTACTGGACTCTGCATAGACAGCGAATGAGGCAATGAACGGGGGAAAAGAGAGAGAGAGAAACTGAGAGTGAGAAAGGAAGATGATATGGTTTGGTAGTATGATTAGAGAAAGTGATCACTGAAAATGAATTGGACTTCCATTGTTAGATCTTTATAAAAGTTCAAGAGAATCGATTGAGTTGTTATGGAAAAATGTTTATCTTTAAGGCAGATACTGAAGTGCTAACACGTGGTTAAATTTCCACAGCATTAAATGTTTGATTGTATATCCTGTCCTACACTTAAATCATGCTTTAGTTAACTCATCATGTAAAGCAGCGGTCCCCAAACTTTTTTCAGTGGGGGCCACATCAACTTTCCTTTCTGAGATGGGGGGCCGAGGTTAGTCTATAACAGGAAATGATATGGGCCAGGGTGACAACCAGTATTATTGTGGAGATTACAATGATAATTTGTTGTAGCTGCCCTTCGTTTGGCTTTGGCACCACCTGTTGATTTGCAAAAAAAAGTAATAAAAAGTCTTCACATGTGTTTATTTGAAGTACCACAGATACTCCATTTATTTTATAGAAAATAACAACACAAACTGATGGTAATGCTGGGGGGGCCGGCGGGCGGCTAGCTCTCCTTGCTGGGCGCAATGCCTGTGCTGGGGGGGGGCGCCGCCGGGCGCCTAGCTCTGCTTGCTGTTTATTTTATAGAAAATAACAACACAAACTGATGGTAATGCTGGGGGGGCCGGCGGGCGGCTAGCTCTCCTTGCTGGGCGCAATGCCTGTGCTGGGGGGGGGCGCCGCCGGGCGCCTAGCTCTGCTTGCTGGGCGCAATGCCTGTGC